TAGACCACTTCTATCCAATTAGTGGTGCCCACATGTCGCTGAAGTTGTCGTTTTTTTTGTTTCTTCCTTTTTCATCCTTTTCCCCTGTCTGTGTTTGTGTAGTTTCCAGTGTATGCTGGCCATTTTCTTTGTGATGTCTAATCTATAGCATTTTCTTTATTTCAGAATTGCATTTTTCAACTTTTGAATTTCCATATCTTCATTGAAGGGTCCCTATTGATATTTTCTATTCGCTGTTCACAATGTTCATGGTTTAAAAAAATTGAACAAATACACATAGAATACTCATTTTTAGGTGGTCATCTGATAATTCCACCATTTTTGTCCATTTTTGTTCTGTTTTGATTAGCTATCTTTTTATTAGCTAATATGGACTTTCTTGCTTTTTTATCTACCTTTTTAAAAATTATATGCTGGATATTATGGGTGTTACAATTTTGAGTTCTGAATTTTGGAAGACAGTGTTAAATTTTGTTCTAGCAGGTAATTAAATTACATGCATAACTGCTTGCTTTTTAATAAGCATCTTATCTTTGTTAAAGCAGGTCTAAAATAGCCTTTTGTGTAGAGTTAGATTGGACCTACTTCTAAAGCATGTCATACCTGGAGTCTCTAATTAATATTGGGGAGCTAAACAAAATCTCTTCACTCTGAGTGGCCTGTACTCAACTGTCTCACAGCCCTTCGTGTGCTCCTAGGGTTGATCTGTTCCCAGCTGTTCTTTGCCTAACCTTTTAAAGTATTCCCCTAAATATGTGTAGCTTTGTATTTGGCCAAAGACTCGAGGTAATCCTGTGCCGATTTCTAGAGTCCCATCTCTAAATAGTTCTCTTGTCTATAAATGCAATCCAACTCAACAGCGCCTTGAACTCTAATTTCTATCTCCTTAGCTCAGTGTGACCACTTTCTTATTTTGGCTTTCTCCTTTCTGTGCCACAGTTTAAAAGGTGCCTTGAATCAAAAAGCCAGCCGGGCGCGGTGGCTCACGCCTGTAATCCCAGCACTTTGGGAGGCCAAGACAGGCGGATCACGAGGTCAGGAGTTCGAGACCATCCTGGCTAACACGGTGAAACCCCTCCCCCCGTCTCTATAAAAATACAAAAAAAAAAAAAAAAAAAAAAAAGCTGGGCTTGGTGGTGGGCGCCTGTAGTCCCAGCTACTCGGGAGGCTGAGGCAGGAGAATGGCGTGAACCCGGGAGGCGGAGCTTGCAGTGAGCCGAGATTGCGCCACTGCACTGCAGCCTGGGTGACAGAGCAAGACTCCGTCTCAAAAAAAAAAAAAAAAGCCAGAGTGATCGTGGGCTTTACCTTTTTTTGTCTTTTTCTCTCACAGATCACATTCCTGTGTTGTCCAACTTTTTTACAAACTGTAAATTTTAGATATGGAAGGAAGACTAGTCCAGTACTCAGTACTAGTTACTCCTCTAAGAACAGAAGCTGAAGTCCAAAGTGCACGTTTTAACACACTATAATAGCCAAATCAGTAACATCTGCTAGTCAGTTTAGTCATAGGTCTCTGGTTTATCATAATTTTAATAAAGCATTCCCTTTGTTTACAACTCAGGGGAATGGCCATTACCACAGTTCCAAAAATTATCCATCAGTCCCAACAATTTAGCACGGACTAGCCATGGGTTCTGTGGCAGGGGACACTTGGAAGTGCAAGCAGCTGGCATTTAGTTGGAACATGCAGTGGACAGCAAGGCTCCAACTGCAATAATAAAGATGACGAAAATCATTCAGATTTCCTAGAAGAAACATGATCATAGAGCAAGAACTCAAAACAGGGAAAACACCAAGAGCTAACCAAGGTGGTTACTTGGAAATTTGGGCTTTGAAGCCAGTTATTTACATGGAACTCCAAAAATGATGGAAAAAATTCCAATTCAAGAAGTAACAACAAGCAAGTAGCTAAATTTGGCTACATCCTGAATCAGATTGTTAGTAAAATCAATGAGAGAAGGAGCTTAGGAGTCCAGTTTGGTCATATTGCATCACGTCTTTCTGATAGGAAATTCTTTAATCTGGGATTGCATCGGAGCGAAATCTTTTTGTCAAAACACCTGAGGGTCCAGCTAGGCAGTCAGCAAATATAGTCTAAGGGTCACTCTTTCCCTGTAAGCCAGCACTGCTTTACCTGAAAGCCCTGTAGAGAACTTCTTGCATGTGACTTAAGCTATTTAGAAAATCCAGCTAGTAGATTATTTAAGAGTTCGATATGTTAAGTAGCATTAGTGACTCCTTGTTATCAAGATAGCTCTACAAAATACAATCTGTAAATATGACACATGACTGTATGACACAAAACAGAATTAAAATGCCCCATTAGAAATAAAATGGGCAGTAGTAAAACGAATGGGGCAGAGGGAAATTTATGAGGGTAATTGATCTCTCGGTCATTAAGCAAGCTCTCTTACTGGCATTTAAAAAAAATCTATTTCAGGTAAGTGCAGCCAACAACAACCTCCACCCCCATTACAAAATGTTCATCCAGAGGGAGCCAAAATAACTGAACAAATAAGGAAAATAACAGTGGAAATTACCCTATTGTACTGTTAACATAAAGTACTGAGAAATACCAAGGACACAGTGATTTTCATGCCAGCTATCCAAATAGATCTTAGTAAATTTTCAGCAACTGCACTATCATAGCTTCTGGAATTTATGATGGAGTTTTCGTATTTTAAGGTGCCATTATTCATGGAAGGAGTACAAGAGTACCTGATAATAATTTTGCACTGCTAAGTCCCATGCTATACCTGTGGCAGGATTAATATCCTCAGTTTAGGGTAATAAAATCAAAACTCTGTGATTTGCCCTTTAATAAGAGAACTTCAGGTTCAGCTCCAGGCTGCTTACCATTTTCTGCTTTGAAGAGGTACCTTTTTAAAAAATGATTTCATAGATGTGAGGCTGGTCTGGCTGTAACATCTGTCACCTCATTAATCACCAGGGTAGATTCAGCTGATCTGGCTAGCGAGGCCGGTGTCCCCTTCCTCCCTCACTGCTCCACGTGACTCCTTCCCAAAGCTGTGCCCTCAGTAGAAGAGGATGACCATCCACAATAGAGGGGTACTGGTGTTTGTCAAGGGTGTAAGGGTAGCTGTGCTCCCCTGCTAGAACCTCCAAACAAGCTGTCAAGGTTCATAAACGTGATTTTATTACAACTGTTGTATGATCAATAATTGAGCTTCATCGTGATGGTGTTCAAAGATCCCTGCACTTTGGAGTCAGGGAGCCTCTATAGCAATCCCAGCTTTGAATGAGATTCTTCTAAGCTGTGTCTCAGCAAACATTTAACATCTACAGTGTTCTAGGTGCTTACAGAAGCCTTCCCTCACCGTGTTATACAGTACACCTCCCTTGCTCCAGTCCCACCCTTCAATTATCTCTATCACATTACCATGGTTTGTTTCTCTTATAGCACTAATCGCTATTTAAAATTAACCAGCTGATTTACTTCTTTACATATTTACTGCCCTGAATTAGAATATTAGCCACAAAAGGGCAGAGACCCTTTCCGTCTTATTTACCGTTGGATCCCCAGAAGTTTCTGGCAAATGGTAGATGTCAATAAATAATAATCAAATTGACTAATGCACAATTTAAGTCACTCCTGCTTCAGATCCAGTAAATACACTGTTCCTCCTTCAAATACTTAAACTTCATTATCACAAGCTAAGAAAGCAACTAAACAAAATTGTGAAACATAATTTAGTAATAGGCTTCTAAATACCCTAGAAGTGTAAAATCTTATATCTGGAAATGTTCATTGAGATAGTAGGCATTCTAGGGATATCATGGATGAAAAAGACATAATCTGTACCTGAAAGACTGTAAAGGTATAGTTTATGGGGAATGAGAGGGAGTGAAGAAGCTGGCCTGTAGACAAATTACAATATAATAAGTAATGCCCTAATCAAATGATAAACAAAGGGAAGAGTAAGAATTTCTACAAGGGAGAGCCAGGTTGCAATAACAATTTTATTCTATTAAAGCTTATGTAAAATAATGATGTTCGAACATGGACTTGGAAACTAAAAAGAGAAAGGACTTCCAGCCAGAAGTCACAGCATGAGAAAAAGGCATCATATTAAATCTTCCTGATGTTTTTGATGAAAAAGCAATGGTAAATAAGAAAGGAAGGAAGGTGGTTAGTAATTTGGTTGCGACAGACCTTGATTATAGGGCTAATGAGTTAAGATCTGGTGTTTAAGTAATTGAGAATTACCTCACTCTATTTCTGATACTTCCAAAGAAACTGCAGAGGTGCCTATAATATAAAAAATAAGTAGATAAATGCGGAAGTCTGTGTATCACCAGATATTGCAAGTTCATCTCTGGAATATGTACTGAAGAACTGTGAGCGTGGGAGATCACTTCCAGAACCAAGCATATCCAGCATTTGGTGGATATCCTCTGCTTCTGCACAGTGAAAATAATGTTTTTGAGGCCTATTTCCAAGTGGAAAGGAAAGATAATTAAGTTCCTTTCATACTACACGAGACAAGAGAAGGAAACGAAAACTAATGGAAAAACATTAAGGTTTTTACTCAAATCAGCTGCATCAGCAATTAAAATTCTACCAATGCCATGGACTTCTTCAGGTAGCAATGAGAGCTCCATCCCAAGACATGGACAGAGGATGGAGTGATAATTTTCAAAACTCTTTTTAAGGAGATTTAGGTGTCAAATTGTGACTTGAATTAGATGACCTTCTAAGCCCTTCCTGATGTTACGGTTCTATTTTCATTTATAGATCATCAAAGACTATTCAAATACAAAACACTTTCTATGCCAGGTTCTGGAAACAAAAAGATAGGTATAACACAGTCTGGTATTTTTAAATAGTGCTTAAACTCTACAGTGTTCTCTCTGATTGTTCATACATAGGCAGGCGCATAGCTAAGCTGCTGGGCTTATCCGGCCATTTGCCGGGATGATGGGTCACTGTGGTCACCACACAGAAATCAATTCTGTTTCTTTGTTGTTCATTCCAGTGCCGGCTCCAAGATACACAGTGGAACTGGCTTGTGGTTTTGGAGCCACAGTCCTGCTAGTGGTAATTCTCATTGTTGTTTACCATGTTTACTGGCTAGAGATGGTCCTTTTTTACCGGGCTCATTTTGGAACAGATGAAACCATTTTAGGTAAGTAACAGAAATTTGACATAAACCTCTTGTACTGTCATCTTTAGAAAATATGTTGGGGACATGGCACAAGTATACATATGTAACAAACCTGCACGTTATGCACATGTACCCTACAACTTAAAGTATAATAATAATAAATAAATTTAAAAAATAAAAATAAAAATAAATTAATAATATCTAAAGCTGAAATTTAAAAATGGTAGTATTATCTGATTTATAAATATTAGGGATTCATAACAAAAATATGAAAAAGCATTGGTGTGGAAGAGACATGAGATTGCTTCTATGCTTGATAGCCATAGTCATAACACTTGATCTTTTGAAAGTATGTACTATATTAATTTGAAAATAAAAATAATTATTCAATGAAAAAAAAAAAGAAAATATGTTGGGGAAAAAAAAAGAAAACATATTGATTTGAAAAACCTAAAATAACTGGAAGATTTAAGCAGGCTAACTTTAATTTCAGCCCTTGCTATTAAAAATCTTTCCGAAGATTATTATTCTGTTTTCTTGGATTAATTAGTGAGTTACTCTAAATTAACAGTGTCCAAATAGAAATATAATGCGAGCCACTTATCTTCTTAAAATTTCCCAGTGACCACATGTGTAAAAGTAAAAAGAAACACGTAAAAATAATGAATTGACTAAATATGTTTGTAATACTATTTTTTAGCATGCAATTAATAGTAAAAAGTTAATGAGATATTTTACAGTCTTTTTTTGGTACTAAAAATGTTCCAAATGTAAAATGTATTCTACTGTATCCTCATAGCACATCTCAATTCAAACCAGCCACATTTCGGTGAGCAATAGACTCGTGGCTCACGGCTGCTGTATTGGACAGTGCTGATCCACACTCCTTGTACTCAGACAGCGATCTGTGAACCAGCAGCAACATCATGTGTAGCTGAGTAGAAGAAGAATCTTAGACCTAGCCGCTACTGACTCAGAATCTACATTTAAACCATATTCCCAAGTGATTCATGTGTATGTTGACATTTAAAAAGCACGGCTCTAGTGCAAATTTGCCTAGTGAAAAGAATAGAGCATTTAAACATACAAATTCGTAGGTCCACACCATAAAGATTTGAATTCAGTAGGCTTATGGAAGAAACACAGAATCGATAGCTTTTAATGAGACGTGATTTTTCTAATTAAGCAACTTTGTGAACGATCGGTCTATTAAATCTAATTATATTTTTAATTTTAGTTCTTTTCAGATATAAATAATTCAGGCAGTTTCACAAAGTTTTGCTCAATTTGTAATTTTAATGTATTAATGAGTAATATGCTTGGACGGGAAGTTGAAATTTTCTGTACAGTATTAATTGCCAGTCCCTATGATTTACCTTCTGGCTTTGTTAATTTACAGTTGAATAGGACAAACCTCACTCTTTTTCCACTATAAAGCAACCTGTAAGATGAGAGTTGAGGATATATCAGATAACATTCAAAATTATACCTTCAAATAGTCGTTTTGCCTGGAGACTTGTTTCAAGTAGAAAATCTCACTGAAATCTGCCTCATAATGAAAATGTCTAATGTGCAGAAGTTAGATTTAAGAAAAAAATGTAATGGTATTAAGAAACTTTCCTAATTTGCATTGTATCCGTGTTCCTTTTGCTAGATGGGAAAGAGTATGATATTTATGTATCCTATGCAAGGAATGCTGAAGAAGAAGAATTTGTATTACTGACCCTCCGTGGAGTTTTGGAGAATGAATTTGGATACAAGCTATGCATCTTTGACCGAGACAGTCTGCCTGGGGGAAGTAGGTATTTCAGATGAGTACCAATGATGCTACCTTGAAAGGCAGAGAGAATCATTAGTTTTGCATTATGGGTGAGAGTCGTGGCACAGCGTCTTTGGATATTTAATGTCCGATGCTCTTTGATGTAACAGACTCCTCTAGAAATAAAACTACATTGGAAGATGTATACTATTCAACTCAGTTTATGGTATTAAAATATTTTCCCTTGTAATCTTTCAGAGCTGCATGTCAGAAAAGTGTGGAGGCACAGTGAATTAGAGCTCTATTAAAGGGCCCTAGCTCTAAACAGCCTGTTTATTCACATTCAGATTTTTCAGTTTAGGCTAATCTGCAGTGGTTTGTCTAGAATTGTTTTGATTTGTTTTGTTTTTGGAAAGACAGAGGTTTACTTGGTTTTACTAAAACTGAGTAGCAGAAGAGTGTGTGTCGAATTTTTCCATATGTGATTCACTGATAATAATTACAGTATTTTCCTATGGCATTTGCTCTTTTTTTTCCCCATCACTTTTCTTTTCAAGCAAAATAGTGCTACTCAAATTCCCCTTTTCCTTCGGTCTGTTTCTTCTTCCTGTCAGCTTACACATTTGAGGGTTACTGTAAAATTTTATAAGAGCCAGTGTAACTAGAAGGTTTAAAAAAAGAAACAAAAAAATGCTTAAATTCTTGAATGTGTTAAAATAAAAGTACAACTCCTTTTTAGATCCACACAGTAACACACAAAGTAATTTTTTGTTGGTGTCTTTTTAATAAATATATGTTACATTCCCAACCCCACTGTTAAACTTTGTCCTGTTGAATTGCTTGTAATATATCTAATCGTAAGCTTGACAAACCTATTTTATTCCTCTAAAATCCTGTTCACATTCATCATTTAACAGTTTTTTAAAAATATTTTATGGATAATTGAGATAGACTTGAAATTTATTCTCATTTTGATTTAGTTGGATCAGTTATTTTATCTTCCCAGTCATCATCCAAAAGTCCATCATAAGACATTTCTTTCAGTATGATTTTTCTAGGAAGTTATGACTTAATTATACAGTTAAAGGATAAATTCCACTCATCCTAATGCTTTATTTCCCCAATTATTCATTCACCCATTTGTTTGTTCATACAGCCATTCAGTAAATTCTTATCTACCATGGAACTGGGTAAGACCGTCCAATAGGGGTTGATAATTCTTTAAAGAATTCACATTCTACATAATTACTCTAAATCTTGCTTTTGTTAATTAGCTTTTGCACCCTTTTTTATTCTCCCTGCTGCTCTTACCCAATCTTCTTTGACTCTGGGTCTCTTCCCACGCTTACACATGCTCAGCCTCCAGTGCCACTGCTTGGAACACACAGTCATTCCTGGATTCTCCTCCAGGCAGTGCATGCTAGATTTTAATTGCAAGACTTTCCCTACTGTTTCTGAGCCTGAGAAGATTAAGGGGCAAAATGACTTCATGAAGGAATATAGCAAGACATATATATAAGTTTCCACAATACTAGTAAGTTACCTAGAGTTGGCAACCATCTGAAACGCAGGTAAAGGACTATGCAATCCTGGATAAGCAACTGTGAGGAGATGGATTGGTTCTGAGAATTTAGTGACAGGAACTAATCAGGGCCCTTGACAGCAGAATAAAATTACATTGCATTTCCATTTTTCCTGCTTTTTCTTATTTTTTCCTTGAAGAAAGCATTTGCCTGTTAGTGCAAGTAGACACATCATCTAGCAGCTGCCGAAACACAAGGCTTTATAGTAATCATAGGAGTTTGAGGAGAAAGATCCAGCGATTAATTTAAGCTCCAGAGCAGAAAAAAGTAGAAAGCCAACCTGAAGATGTGTTACCAGCCAAAATGTCATTCAGTTGGCTAGATTTTTTTAAGCTTCTATTCCAAAGACAGTGATATTAGAGTCAGAGAGGTATCCAACAATAGAGAGGGACTTTCAGAAGATGAAGGTCCTTCCCTTTGTTGTCTTGTCCTAGCAAAAAATAAAATTCTGTTGTTTTGATTATATAACATATATCTTTTTGAATGTCCATTTGGTTCTAGAGAGTTTATGTATGGGTTTCTTTGGGGAAGACAGGGCTCATGAGCTGATGTGGCTAGACCATAAGGTGCCACACACATTGAAGAAACTGATTTCAGTATAATGTGTCTCCTTCTTGTGTCTCAAGTATTGCTTTTGAAGATCAAGGTCACAACAATACACTACCTTTTGGCTTCATGCCTGTTTAGAATTCTTTTTAGAAATATGTGTATATGGTTTCTGGTTTCCCTGAAGACAGTGGTATTTAATGGACAGAGTTTGCAGGTATAAGGATTAAGTTGTTCAAATTTTTGCTGGTAAAAAGTTTCACCTCAGTTCTTAGGCTGGTACCCTAAGTTCCCTACATTTGTTCCTCACACCCCAATGCTTTTGGGGAGTTTTTGGCCAACACTAATCCCCATGGTTGTTTTCTTTCCCAGTTGTCACAGATGAGACCTTGAGCTTCATTCAGAAAAGCAGACGCCTCCTGGTTGTTCTAAGCCCCAACTACGTGCTCCAGGGAACCCAAGCCCTGCTGGAGCTCAAGGCTGGCCTAGAAAATATGGCCTCTCAGGGCAACATCAACGTCATTTTAGTGCAGTACAAAGCTGTGAAGGAAACGAAGGTGAAAGAGCTGAAGAGGGCTAAGACGGTGCTCACGGTCATTAAATGGAAAGGGGAAAAATCCAAGTATCCACAGGGCAGGTTCTGGAAGCAGCTGCAGGTGGCCATGCCAGTGAAGAAAAGTCCCAGGCGGTCTAGCAGTGATGAGCAGGGCCTCTCGTATTCATCTCTGAAAAATGTATGAAAGGAATAATGAAAAGGGTAAAAGCAACAAGGGGTACTCCAGGAAGAAAGAGTCCCCCCATTCTTCCTTCGCAGTTTATGGTTTCTTAGGCAAAAATGATGGTCTAAGCCTCCCACTAGGGATAAATTTAGGGTGACTGTGGCTGACTATTCCGCTTCCTCAGGCAATACTAAAGTTTAGAATGATATTATCAACGTTCTGTCACCAGTCTGTGATGCCACTGTGTTCTTTGCAGGCAAAGACTTGTTCAATGCGACTTTCCCCTTCTACATTGTCTATCCCTGTTTTTATGTCTCTATTCTTTTTAAAATCTTAACATATGGAGCAGCCTTTCCTATGAATTTAAATATGCCTTTAAAATAAGTCACTGTTGACAGGGTCATGCGTTTCCGAGTATAGTTTCCTTTTTATCTTATTTTTACTCGTCCGTTGAAAAGATAATCAAGGCCTGCATTTGAGCTGAGGATAATGAACTTTTTTCCTCATTCGGCTGTGTAATACATAACCACAGCAAGACTGACATCCACTTAGGATGATACAAAGCAGTGTAACTGAAAATGTTTCTTTTAATTGATTTAAAGGACTTGTCTTCTATACCACCCTTGCCCTCATCTCAGGTAATTTGTGTAATATATGTAAACTTGAAAAATATTTCTTAATTCTTGTTTTTGCTCCAGTCAATTCCTGATTATCTGCAGGTCAACCCACATTTTTCATTCCTTCTCCCTATCTGCTTATATCGCATTGGTCCTTTAGAGTTTGCAGGTGGCTTCACACTTGGTTGAGTCTGAAAGAAAACCCCTTAATGGTGCTATAGAGAGGGAGGTAACAGAAAAACTCTTTTAGGGCATTTTTCTGACTCATGGAAAGAACACAGAAAAGGATGTTTGGCAATTTGTCTTTTAAGTCTTAATCTTGCTAATGTGAATACTGGGAAAACAGTTTTTTCTCATTTGTTTTTGTTGCTCCATTGTGAAGTGTGGAGGTCAGACTTAGTGACCTTGAGAGTCGCTTTTGGCATTAATATTCTAAGAGAATTAACTGTATTTCCTGTCATCTACTCACTAGTGCAGGAAATATGCTTGCTCCAAATAAGTCAGTATGAAAAGCCACTGTCAATGAAAGTTGTTTTGTTTGTTTTCAGTCATATTTTGCTGTTTTTAAGACTTGGAAAACTAAGTGCAGCGTTTACAGAGTGGTAAATATCTATGTTACATGTAGATTATACATATATATACACACATGTGTATATGAGATATATATCTTATATCTCTACAAACACAAATTATATATATATGCATATCCACACACATACATTACATATATCTGTGTATATAAATCCACATGCACATGAAATATATATATATACATATATATAATTTGTGTGTGTGTATGTGTGTATGTGTATGTATATGACTTTAAATAGCTATGGGTACAATATTAAAAGCCACTGGAACTCTTGTCCAGTTTTTAAATTATGTTTTCACTACAATGTTTTTGTGTCAGTGTTTTCTGTACATATTATTTGTTAATTCATAGCTCACAGAGTGGTAGTTGTCATAGTTCTTGCCTTCCCTAAGTTTATATGAATAACTTAACTATTGCTACAGTTTTTCTGGGTTGCAGTGGAATTTGCTGTGCACAGAGCCTCCATGGTCACTGCTAAGCAGTAGCCGGCCATCGGGCATTAATTGATTTCCTACTCTATTCCCAGCAGACACATTTAGAAACTAAGCTATGTTCATCTCAGTGCTCAACTATTTGAACTGTTGAGTGATAAAGGAAACAAATATAACTGTAAATGAGTCTTGGTATCCTGTGAAACACAATAATTCATAATTTAAGAAAGCCCTTATCCCAGTAGCATGAATGTTGATGAACGAATGTAAAATTATATCCTATATTTAAGTGCCCTTCATCACTATTGAAGTTCATAATAAATCATTTCCCTATATAAGTGTTATTGATTATTTTAAATTGAAAAAAGTTTCACTTGGATGAAAAAAGTAGAAAAGTAGGTCATTCTTGGATCTACTTTTTTTAGCCTTATTAATATTTTTCCTTATTAGAAACCATAATTACTCCCTCTATTAACCCTTCACTTACTAGACCAGAAAAGAGCTTATTCCAGATCAGCTTTGAATATCAATTCTTACATAAGCTTTAGGCAAACAGGGAATAGTCTAGTCACCAAAGGACGATTCTCTTGCCAATGCTGCATTCCTTTTGCACTTTTGGTTTCCATATTTATCCCAAATGCTGTTGGGCACCTCTAGAAATGCCTTGATGTGTTTTCTATTTATATTCCTGCCTTTGGTACTTAATTTTACAAATGCTGTAATATAAAGCATATCAAGTTTAAGTGATATGTATCATTGCAAGAGAATTTGTTTCAAGATTTTTTTTAATGTTCCAGAAGATGGCCAATAGAGAACATTTGAGGGAAATGGGGAAACATACTTGTAATTTAGAGAACAAGAACAAACCATGTCTCACATTTTTTTAAAAAAACTTAATAGTTTTCAATAGATGCTATAAGGACCTTCCATGCCCAGGTTAACAAAGAACTGTGATATGTACAGTATCTAATTACAAAATCATACAACATTTGTTTAATTCTCTTCTGTATTGTAACTTAGATGATTCCCAAGGATTCTAATAAAAAAATCACTCCATTGTATTGGGAAACAAAAACATCATTCGTTAATTACTTATTTTCTTTCCATAGGTTTTAATATTTTGAGAGTGTCTTTTTTATTTCATTCATGAACTTTTGTATTTTTCATTTTTCATTTGATTTGTAAATTTACTTATGTTAAAAATAAACCATTTATTTTCAGCTTTGAATTTTATTTTGTGCATGTGTTTTATGTCTTTATTTTCACATTTGGTCATAAATGAAAACAGAAAGAATTGATTATTATACTCACAAAGAAATATGAGTCACATTAGTTAAGTTTCATTCTGAGATAAATCTGAGCAAAATGGGAACTTCATATCAAGAACATTTTCTTTACATGTAGGTAAAAGTTACTTAAGTAAAAAGAATTGCTCCAGAACACTAGGACATATTTTGTGGGTGTATACGTGTTTATGTGTGTATATGCATGTGTATGTGCATGTGTATGTGCATGTGCATGTGCATGTGCATGTGCATGTGCATGTGTATATGTATGTGTATGTGCATGTGTATGTGCATGTGTATGTGCATGTGTATGTGCATGTGCATGTGTATGTGCATGTGTATGTGCATGTGTATGTGCATGTGTATGTGCATGTGTATGTGCATGTGTATATGTATGTGTATGTGCATGTGCATGTGCATGTGTATGTGCATGTGCATGTGCATGTGCATGTGTATGTGCATGTGTATGTGTATGTGTATGTGCATGTGCATGTGCATGTGCATGTGCATGTGTATGTGCATGTGTATGTGCATGTGTATGTGCATGTGTATATGTATGTGTATGTGCATGTGTATGTGCATGTGCATGTGTATGTGCATGTGTATGTGCATGTGTATGTGTATGTGCATGTGTATGTGCATGTGCATGTGTATGTGCATGTGTATGTGTATGTGCATGTGTATGTGCATGTGTATGTGCATGTGTATATGTATGTGTATATGTATGTGTATGTGCATGTGTATATGTATGTGTATATGTATGTGTATATGTATGTGTATATGTATGTGTATATGCATGTGTATGTGCATGTGTATGTGCATGTGTATATGCATGTGTATATGTATGTGTATGTGCATGTGTATATGTATGTGTATATGTATGTGTATATGTATGTGTATATGCATGTGTATGTGCATGTGCAGAGAGACAGAAAGACCGTCAGAAAGACGGAGAGATATGGAGAGACAGAGAAAAAGGAGAGAAAGATTATTTTAAAACAAAGGAAAACAAGCTTCTTCCTTTTTACTCAACTTGGAACTTAGGTAGCTTACAGGAATCTTTTTCGTCTAATAGGCTTTAATGCAATCCCATGGTAGTTGCTTTGGAAATAGATAAAATAAAAATAATGTCATGACTTCAATTAATTGATGATCATTTGAATCAAAGATGCATTTCTGTCACAAATTTTGAATAAATCAGTGATGAATATTTGGAAACATATTTTATTTTCAGTTAATAATACAAGTCCATAGTGATAGGAATGCCTTTTTGCTTTTAAAAAAATCCCTGGCCGGGCGCATTGGCTCACGCTGTAATCTCAGCACTTTGGGAGGCAGAGGTGGACGGATCAAGAGGTCAGGAGATCGAGACCATCCTGGTCAACATGGTGAAACCCTGTCTGTACTAAAATACAAAAAATTAAGCAGGCATTATGGTGTGCGCCTGTAGTCCCAGCTACTCGGGAGGCTAAGGCAGGGGAATCACTTGAACCTGGGAGGCGGAGATTGCAGTGAGCTGATATTGCACCACTGTACTGCAGCCTGGTGACAAAGCGAGACTTCAGGAAAAAAAAAAAATCCTATTTGTTCATTTTACTGAGCCCCATAACATACTCAGAATTGGTTAGCTTAGTAAAAATTTGTCTACTGAAGAATTAATTTTCCTCTTGCAAACCAGTCCCGAAAGTGTAGGCTTAGGATCAACAGATCAAAGTTCCAAGGAAACAGATTTCTTCTCAGTTAGAAAACAGCTATAAAGCAGAATTCGACACTGATGGAATTCACTATCTTTGGAAATACAGGTCTGCCATTACCAGAGGTGTACAAGCAGTTATTTGATAGATTTTCATTGAGATTTTGTATATGAGTTTTTTGCATTGGATAAGTGGCTTTGAGTCTGAAATTGTTTCCAACCCTGAACATATTAAGTGACCTATTAGAACATACTGGTGACTCTTTGGAAGATTCAACTTCAGCATTTTGCATATGATCTACCTGGCTGTGATTAACCTTCCTTAAACTCTCAAGATATTTTTTCCATTATATACTGACGTCACTAGCTCTTTAATGCAAGTAAATGCACAAAATGGTATGAGAGATGCATTTAGCAACTAGTCTATGTTATTTCTCTGTGATTTATGCAATGTGTACTGTGTGCTAGAAATTTACATGTAGGCATCTAATTTGTTTA